CCTATATATGACAGTTGCAGACAGTCAAACCTTATATTCAGGGCTGCAGAGCTGAAAAAGTTCAACAACCTGAATCTGAAATGAGAATCTTGTTCCCCTACCAAACAAGCCTCTGTCCGTGTAGGACACGGGGAAGCAGTGGCTTGCTTTTCTAATGTGCAGTTCAAATTCTACCAGCACTAGATGCCTTAGAGTTTCTCTTTACGTTAGAAGTTCATTAACACCCGTTTTCTCCCTTACCCTGTGTAGCTGGCTCTGGATATTGACAAAGATGCTGACGAACAAAACCGTTACCTGGATGGCATGGTAAGGAACCAATGAAAGGTAAAGCACGTGACTTTTTTGTGCTGGCTCTCAGCAGTTACCTTAACTGGAAGTTTAATAGCAGTTAGCAAACAAAATTAGATCCCAGTGGTCGGTTTGGCAAACCAGGGCATGTCACTAAACCCGTTTCCAGTGGCCTTCTTGATATATAAACATCAGACACTTAGCGGCTGCTAGTATTGCGTTGTCCGAATGGGCGACACGGTTGGTATTTAGCATCTGGAAGGACTGATGTAGGACAGCGCACTTCAGAAACACAGATGGAGATTACCTCCTTACTGGGATTAAAGAGCTGCCTCCTGTGGCTAATGCTGGGAGATGGGCCTGTTCTGCAGCTGCTCCTGTGATTTTTGGTATTGCTGTGTAAATCTGTCAGGGTTACTTACTCTAACACCTGAAACACAGACTACCTGTCAGGACTTTGTAGCTCACTGACGTCTTTGGAAGGAGCAAAGCTGATGCTCTGGGTCACCTCGGGTTGTTCGGTGCCCTGTTCTGCCATCTTTCTGACACACAACACCCGATAAAACCAAAATCGCTTTCCAGAGTAATCTGCCACTTAAGCTTTGGTTGCTGATGGAAAATCACAGCACAGTGGGGAAAGGCCAGCACATTCCTGTGGCAGAGGGGTTACCTGCTGAGGCCTTTTAGGACAAAGGTAATTCGTTAACTGAATTGTGAGAGGAAGGGAATCCAGCCTGGAGATTTGAGAAGGACATTAGCACTGTCACACTGGTGCTTGAAGAGCTTTTTCCGCATGTGCTGGATGTCGCAGAGCTGGTGCATGGAAGCGAGAGAAAAGATAATTATAGTGTTGGAACCAGTGGAGTCAAAGGTGTGAGCTCAGCTTGGAAGCTTAACAACGGCGTGTGCTGACAGTGTTGGCGTGTTTGAAATGGATATTTGCTCAGCCTGAAGATTAGGAGAATGGAGGATCCATCAATAAAAGGTGTAATGGCAAAAGACATTAAAGCAGAAGCCCGCAATCAGCATGAAATTTTGCTTCTGGTACAGAGGTGGTTTTGAAGCATTTCAGGAACAACATGAGCAGAAGCTCCGAGTAGTTTGTGGGTAAGGAAAACAGACCAGAAGTCAAAATGAAAATGCCTGAACTGCATTAATTTGAGAAGTTTGCCACCCTCTGGTGGAGCTGCAGATGCATTCTGTCCCATGCTGAAAATAACTGGGACTAATGGCAAGAAATGACACCTTTTTCTGTGCTTGTGAGCCTGGCCCGGTGTACGGTAATGGCTCTAGCTTCATGTAGGGACATTTCCTTTGGGTGAAGCGTTAGCTTGTAGAGTTGCTGTTAACAAGCTGTTCCAGGCAGAATGAGCGGCGTGGGTACAGTGGACCAGTCCAGCAGCAGGTCGCTTGACCCTGGCTGAAAAAAGGGGAGGCAGTTTGGTGTACGTTTGCAACAGCCCTTCCCCTGTCTTTTTTGTTTCCCTGCCTTGAGTGTGGTGGGAAGGTGCTGCCCCTGGAGCCTGAGCACAGGAGGGAAGGACCTTCTGAGAGAGACGTGATGGGCACGGAGAGATGGGCAGCTATTGTGCAGCTCCCTCTGCAAGTGTGTTTTAGGCAGGAAGTGGCAGATTCTTCAGGGATACCTTCATCTGTTTATAACACCTCCATCTTCATTTTCTTCCTCATTCAGGATTCAGATTTTATGAGCGTGACTGGTCTGCTAACTGGCAGCGTGAAGCGTTTCTCCACCATGACACGGTCTGGGAGGGATAACCGCAAGTTGCTCTGTTCTGTTTCGTCAGGACTGATTGTTGTTTTCTTCATCCTCTACTATCTCGTGTCCAAAGCAGGGACTTGAGCTTGTTGTTCTGCAAGTTTTACAGCACAAAGAACACGACAACCGACAGACTTGTTCAACACCTTTCGTGGTCTGCCCTGTGGTGGAGCCTTTGAGATGTTCCAGGCAGACCTTCTAAATAACTTTTCTTTCCACCAGCTTCTTGTCATTGTTCTGGCTGGTCTCAGACATCTCTTTATAAAATGAGTAGGTTTGATTCTAAACAGATTTTCATGTATAACATGATTTTGATGTTGCTAAATGCTTACGCCTTTCTCTCTTGCCTTGTTGTCCACGTCTTGTGGCCTGTTTTTAAGGGCCGCTTTTGTGTTACCTCCCTTACTGATATTCGGTACTAGGCTTGTG